TGTAATAATTTTTATATTATAAAATATATTTTTTTCATGATAAATTATCTAAATAGGTAAAGACAAAAAAAATATAATATTTATATATGTGTGATTTTGCAAATATAATAACATGTATAAGACAATTTTAGTATGAAATAAATATAATAATTGACTATTTAATAAAATATAATAATAAAATAAATATTAAATATTGGCGCGAATATCAGAATTTAGAATCTAATTACATTTATCAAATTATAGGCATTAAATATTTTAAAATCAAAATATTTACCGCAATGCGTTTTTATATCAGCATGACACGTAAACAAAATTATAACTCACGAGATCGCGACATGTATCTAATATTGATTAGATTAAAAATGTGTTTAAAATTAAAATTAATTAAGAAAAATGAAATTTAAAATAGAAAGTAATTGTCAAGTTACTAGTCAAATAATAAAAAGTCAAATTTCTCATAGTATCAATAATAATTAAGAAAAACAGTTTAAGATAAAATATAGACATGACATAAGCCGTAAAATAAACAAATAATACATATCGAAGAAAAATCTCAATTAAAAGAAATAAAAAGACGAATGATAAAAAATTTATATAAATTGGAAAAACAAAAGTTAGAAAAGTTCAAAAATGAGATATTTCAAAAAATCCTATTTTTCAATGGTCACTTTACAAAAATGCCACACTTTTGAAATCTTTACAAAAATGCCTCTTTTTAAAAATTATTTTTTCTTTATATTATTTAGGTTTGGGTTAATTATATTCTATTAGGGTTTAGTTATGAGGGTTTAGGGAGGTTTAGGGGTGAAAACATTTTTTAGTGTTTAGAATTTTAAGATATAGGGTTTAAAAAACTATAATTAGTGGTATTTTTTCAAATGAACATCCCTAAATATCATTTTTGCAAATATGCACATAAAAAGTGGCATTTTGCAATTTTTCCATAAAAAATATACACAACCATGCAAAAATAAAATACAATTAAAATCTATATTAATACTTATTATATCAATATAGAGTTACATAATATCACAAAGAAAATAGAAAATTTCGACCTATGATGTCATTGGTACTCTCCAAGTTATATATTGAAAATTATATAAGTTAAAAAATAATAATATTATAATTACTATCAAGTTAATACTGTATAAAATTTGGAGAATATAATTCTCTACGAG